GGGGGGGGGGGGTGGACTGAGGACATGGAGTCCAGCAAAGACGGTATTTGGGAGATGGAGCCATAGATAGATGGAGAGGCAGAGAATTCTTAACTAGAGCTAGTCCAAGGAACAATTTACACGGAATATTCTCAAAGTTTGTTTTTGCCCCCCAAAACACTATTCCTTAGAAAGAATGGCGTGTTTCAAAGACTCTGATACAATGGTACGTACTCCTGGGGAAGACACATTAACTGGAAACAATACCCCAAAAATGCTTGGTTTTATTCCTTATGAAGAGATTATGGAGTTTAGAGGCAAAGGAATTTAACAAATAGAAAGTAATTATTCCTAGGGATACAACCTCTAAATTGCAGGATGATTTCTTAAGCAATCATTTAAAAAATTATTTAAATTAGTATTTGACTAAGTACTTATATAGAGGTGATCATAAATACATACCTCTAGGGTGAATGAAAAGACAATTTTAATATTATGGAAATGTGTACTTGTGCCTTGAGGGGGGGGAAAAGTCTGGGGATGGTGTCCATCTTTCAAAAATTGTCTGTTTTTCATGTAACTTAGGTGGAAGTAAAATGATTTCAATCATGAAAATTGTTAGATGATACCAAAACTGGTTCTAATAAAGCCAAAGCATGGGTATCAGAGATACACAAAATAGTTGGGGGGGATGCTTTATAAAATGTGAGTGAAAAAGCAACTTCTAATTTTTATCACTATTATTATTATAAGTCCTCAGGATAACAGGTTGAATTAATCCTACCTTAGTTCTTGTTTCATATTGTCATCGATCCACATAAGGCCCCTCTCTTTCCTACATAGTTATCTGTTCCTTTTTCTACATTTCAACCTCATTCCTCTCCCATATTACATTATTTTATATATTATATGGTTTTATAAATACTGTAAGTAGGTATGGGAATGACATTAACAAATCAAATACTGTAACAAATTAAACATTTTTCTCTTTCATCTAAAGTCTTAAAAGCTTGGAGACTGAAATGACATCTACTTCGGCCTTTTTATTGGCAAGATGGGAATTACCTTAGTTACCTTTAATTCTAAGTTTTTTATTTTGGATATGTATGGTAATTTCTTAAATAAATTTTGAGAAATTGAATTTTTTTCTTCATTGGGGGTTGGGGAGCATATTCCAGAAAAATCAAAATATGTGATCCAAATAATGGATTTTAATTTTGATTATTTTAAATAATCAAAATATACAGGGTGTCCCCCCCAAATGCATATACACTTTGAATATTATTAATTACAATGGGTTAAATCTGAAAAGAAGGAAACATCAATTGAGCTATCAGCTGTTAAGTGTGTATACATTTTGGGGGGACACTTTATACTGGGAAGCTCAAAAGTTTTGTAACATTTTTCATTTATGTCCCAATATCCTTCCCAAACTCAATCCCTACCTCCTAATAACTGTTTTCATTAATTTAGAAAATTCTAAATAGTTCAGTCCTCTTTGAAATAAAGTATCCTTTCCATGCTGTCTTTCTAGACTCCCCTCTTCGAGAAAATAGCTGATTTTGAACAAGCATGCTCCGCGATACTGCGGATGCTTATCTTAATAGAACCAAAGCCCTTTACATGGATTCACCCCTCATTACTCACAGTAATGCCGAGTGCTCTAGTCCAGGCAGATATTTATTATTTTATATATGAGAAGACATTAGAGGAAGGCTATTTCTCAGTGGAGCAGGGGAATAGAAGTTTTCTGAATTTTAGTTCCTCGCAGAGCTCCATGTAATGAGCTCTTAGAAGACATTGCAGAGCTTCAATTTAAAAACCCTGCTTAATCAGCCGTAGTGAGCTTCGTGTGACTCCCGGAGGGACAGCTTTGCGGGGAGTCAGGTTCCTCCCCCGCATCCAGCGCATCCCCAGGAAGTGCTCTGTGACCAGGGTCTGCCACAGAGGCCACAGGGAGCCCACGGCTGCAAAGCTGGGTCTCTGCTCGACAGCGTGGAGGAAACAGCAGAATACAAATCATCAGCTTTGTTTTATGAATATCTTTATTTACAGTGCTGGAGTGGAATTTTTTAAAAAGGAATACAGCATTTGCATTGAACCTGTCACTCAAGCTCCAATGTTGATTCCTGTCCTTATAAATGATCTTGCTTTCCTAGTTTTTTTTCTTTCTTTCTTTCTACAAGGTTACTGTCAATGTCAGGAGATATAAACCTCAAGCACACACTGCATGAGGCATAGCAGGCAGACTGGAAGAAAAGAGGTTTGTTTAATGAAAAGGGATAACATTTATTCAAACTAAGCATATTTTATTGCACACAGGAAAATTATTTTCTTTGGGAGTTTTGATGAAATTTTATCATAATATAAAATTTGATGCTACACTTTTATTTTTCTTTGACCGACAGAATTTCTCGGCTTAGCTTATAGACTATGTAAAGTGCCTGTCATAGGGACCGATGTCTTTGTGGAAATCATTTAGACCCACAGAAAGCGAGTGACCCTCGGGGATGGCTAGAAATCTCCCAATTTTGTCAAAGATCCTTTTCTGTTTGGAAATTGTAAAGCTCAAGCTATAGACTAGGAAACTGACAGGAGGAGATGTGTTTGGCTTCATGGAACCTAACCTATTTCTGCAGGCCGGCAGTACTGGGGAAAATAATACCTGAATTGATATTTGTGTCAGGCTCGCCCTTGATTGCTAAGGTTCGTATAAAGGTTACTTCTAAAGAAATGTCTGTCATTCTTACTCTGCCCTCTTGGGATTTCTGCTTCTTCCAAATCCTGCCCTCTAGAACAATAAAATGATTTTTAAACGATAAGCAAAATGTGATTTAATAGCCCATCTCCTGTCCTATAATGATTACACATCTCCTCTCTTGTAGCTCACAGCAGCTGGAGGACAATTGACATTTACTGTATCGTATGACCTCGAAGAAGAAGACACAGCCCGCAGACGCTCGCTCCAGAGCACGATTATCTTAGAGGTAGAGTACGGAGAGGGTCATTCACGTTCAACCGTTTTACGCTCTTATGTTATTTGAGGGTGTTCCTACCTTGGTTGCTTTGACGTTAATTTACATACCACGATAGAAAAATATTATATCTTGGAAATTTTTTCTGTGCCAGTCCTACTTTTCACTCTGAGACATATCTAGAAGACCAAGCCTGTTCGTTGGGTTCCAATGATAAAGGAGACCTTTAGAGCAGACTTAGAATTTAAATTAAAAACATAATGGCCATGTTCCCAAGAAAATAAGTACAAGCAAAGTGTTTAGGCAAATGCTGATTTACATGGTTGTATATTTTCCATCTCCCCTTGCTCCCAGGTAGAATTTGTCTGCTTTTTTGTTTACGTTAAGCAGAAGTAAATAAAAAGGAAAACTTGTTTATTTAGGTGTAGTTAAATTTTGACTTCAAAATTCCTAATTTAGGTAAGAAAGATATGGGAGAAGCTGCTTTCAGGATTTGGAGGTCAAAAGGCCGTTCTAAAGTGCTGGAAGCCTGAAGTTATCTTAGAGGTTCCCTCCCTCCCGGTTCCCATACCCCCCC